CAGATTGCCAGTCCACATATGTGTAGCATTTTTCTCCTTCCTTATTGTGCGAGCTGGGACTTCTGATGCAGTGCTGAAAGGGGCTGGTGTGATGGATATCCTTGCTTTTCCTGAATTTCAGAAGAGTTCAGTTTTTCTCCGCTAAGCATGGCAGCTCCAAGTCTTTTATGCATACCCTTCCTTCAACAGATGGAGGGGATACATCGAAGTCAGTTTGGGGCTGTCATACACAGTCATGCCATATATATTTCAGAATATTTCTCTTGGTGCCGTGTGATGCCTTGAAGTTGGGTAACTTCACCTTGCAGTGAAATTTCTGGGTCATAGGGCAGGTGCATGCTGAGTTTAGTGACCCATCACCCAGTCAAACACCCGGATCCGTTCCTGCGACCAGGCTGTTAAGTGAATTGGTTGCTGAATGAGGCACTGTGGATACTATGTAAATTACAATATTCAGAATAAAGAAATGGTCAAAGGAGAGTCTAGCCTAGTGACTTTACTTTCATTTGTATAAGCCTCACATGCAGTACTGAAATGTAGAACAGAACATAAAACTACAACATTGTACTGTACGATGCAGTCAGCAGAAATCACTATATAAACAAGGGGTACTGTAAAAAAAAAGACACTGAGACTCTAGAAATAAGATGTACAGAATTGTACAAAAGGAAAAAATAAAGGACAGGTTGCAAGTTCTTGTGGTGGATTGTAAATCCAAACAGCGCCCTTGATTGGTTGTACGTCCAAACAGTCAGTAAGCAGATGGTCCTTAAGTAGGCAGTCTTTGTAATCTCAAAGAGGTTGTGGCGATTTACACCTCCACTGACAGGTACCTCCGTTCACTGAAGTGTGGGTTGTGAGCTAGCTCCTTACATGCTCCAGGCTTCAGCGAGGCCTATGCAAGGAAACTGTATATTGGACCATGATAACTGGGAATTTATAAAGAAAAAGAAATGGCTGCCAGGCATGGTGTCTCATCACTGCAATCCCAGCACTCTGGAAGCTGAGGCAGGAGGATCACTGTGAGTTCAAGACCACACTGGGCTACATAGTGAGTTCCAGGTCAGTCTTAACTACATAGTGAGACCCTGTCTCAACCCCCCCCCAAAAAAAAGCAGTGGCTGTCCTTCACTACACACAGCTTGAGAAGCACTGGCTGTCTCTTTTCTGTGCTGACCTTCAGCGCTGTCATTGCCATCTTTCTGAAGGGTATACAGGGTCCAGCCTTGTGACCTGTGTTTTGCCAATGACTAAGTAGGTTGTGCACCTTCTCATGTGCACAATCGCCATCTGAGTGGCCCTCTGTGTGAAGCATTCTGAACATTTTCAACGTGGGTGTTGTGAGATTTCCTAGAATGTTTACTTCAGGTCCTTTTGTAACTGTCTCCCGGCCGGTTTCCAGGATGAAGATCCTGGGAGAAATGTGGGGTTTGGGGACCTGATTCAGAAGCAAGATTTGTCTAATTTGATTCATTGAGATCACATTTATGACCCTTGGCAGGCACAGTGCACTGTGGGCACTGCACTGAGCACGGTAGCAATGCTCTGCCTGCAGGGAACCACAGTGGGGAGAAGCCAGATCGATGACAGCTCTGGATGCTGATAAGCACCGAGGAGAAAGTAATAGTGACCGTGGGGCTGGGAGGGGAGGACACTTTGGCTGGGATATTAAGTCATTTTTCCTAAAGTGATTATACTTTATCCTGCATCAGGATAACAGGAAGGCAGACAGCCAGCAGTCACTGGGAGGGGTGTTCCAGGGTGAGAGAATGTCAGGTGCAAAGGCCTGGTGGTGGGAACAAGTTGGTCTGCATATTGGAGGGCCTCTTCTTTGGGTCAAAATGGACACACAATGCCATAGGAGCCTGGCACCAGCACAGTGTGGTTACTGCTCTTGGGGGCCTTGGACTGACCTAGGTTCCTGGAGTTGCCTTGCACACTGAGCTGAGATCATGCAGCAGGTGAGAGGTTGCATCCGCTGCCCACTGCCTATAGCCCTCTTGGATCATTGAAGGATGCAGGATTAGGAAGCCTGGGCTCCCCGCAGCTCCGGAGAGCCAAGGTGGAGCCGGCCGCAGTGAAGACTTCGCCAGACAGCCACTCTGGATTGCCTTCTCTCCCTCTTCCTGGAAGCCCGCCCTTCCTCAACCAGGTGCCCAGAATTCTTACTGTCAGGTCTGCTTCTTGGAAGCAACCTAAGAACACAATGCAGTGCGTGTGCGTGCACATGCATGCGCGTGCACCCGCATTCGGCAGAACCCAAGGCCTGCAGCACGCTAGGCAAGTGCTCTACCACTGAACCACATTCCTGACCTCAGATTCATTTTCTTTTTCTCTTCTGTGTTTTCCTGTCCCACGGTCAGGCGGGAGCATAGAGATACATGTAAACAGCTGAGTTATCCTTGGATCCGTATCCCGCTCTCTCTGGGCCTTCATGTCCTCTTTACAACAGTGGGACAAAAACAGTGCTACCTGTTAAGGCTGCTGTGAGATGAAGTGACAGAAAGGAGGCTTCACAGAGACGGCTAGCAGTGAACGCTCACCTGCGGCCATGGTTTCCTGTAGTTACGGGGCCTCTCCAAGACACCAGAGTTCATAAAACGTTGCAAGCCACAGGTTATGTCATCGTATGTTCTTTAAAAAGTGCTTGGTGTCATGAGCTGGGACCCAGAGGTGGAGGGAGGAGCTGCTCAGGGTTGAGGTGCTCTCCCTGTGTACCGTCTTCCTCAATCCCGATGGACAGCTGGGCAGAATGGGGGTCCTACCGGGAGTGTTACAGACCGGAAGCTAACTCTCCAGGAGCTGAGCTGCGGGAGGAGACAACGTATGCAGGCGCTCGTCCTGGACTGAGCCCAGGCCGGATCTGGGTCCCTTCCGGGTGGGCCCTGGCCTGGCGTCCAGGTCCCTCCTTCCTAAAGGAGCTCAGGGCCCACCCTTCAGGGGCACCGACCGCCTGGCTGCCGAGGCTCCTGCCCTGCGCACCAGACCATGCGGTTTCTAAGGGCAGTGGCACCTTGTGTGCTTACGGGGAGGTTTCTGCTTCTCCTCTTCTCCCCAAGACTAGTTTCTGGGAACTGGGGAGGCCCAGGCCAGGGCACGCAGCCCCTCCCCTGGAAGCAGCCCCAGGCCAGGGGTCCCGTAGGGCGGGGGGGGGGTTTCTCTGCAACACCTTTGTGTGCCCTCCGAGGGTGATGACCCTGAGGTAGAATCTTGAGGCGGATGGGGTGAAGGCAGACTTTATCCCATCGGGGCTGGGCTTGCAGCAGAGCCGGGGCTGGGGCAGGGAGGAGCGGAGTGGGGCGGGGTGGATGTGCTGCAGGGCGGGGTCAGCGTTAGGATCACTTGCCAGCCAGGCAGTGCTCTTATTAAGGTGGCGGGAGGCAGCCGGGGTGCAGGGCAGGTGAGGTGAGGGCTGCTGCTGTGTGAGGCCACCGCGGGCCTTAAGGACCTGTGGCAAGTGCGGGCTGCAGACATCCAAAGAGAAGTGTTATTTTTTATTTTTAAACCGCTTAGCCGTTTTCCTTCCTCCACACTAGCAACTGCAGCCCGTCACAGATTTTCCTTCGATGCAGCTTTTCTTTCAGTGATAGTGCACCTCTCTCCGAGCCGATCCACACTCCTGGGGTTAGGACCTTGCACCCCAGCATCCATAAGAGTGGACATGGGCAGGCTCCTGCGGAGCTCCCAGCACTTCTCAGCTCAAAAGCCCGTCTCCGGGGTAGAAACACCAAACACCGGAAGCCTGCAGCGGCAGTTCTGCTTGGCGATGTGGTTCAGCCTGCTGGCCCAGCGAGCCAGCCCCTGGGACCCTTCTGGCGGCCTCGGGAAAACAGGTGCCTTTCACAGCCGCCAGCGTGAGGATTCTGCTTGGAGGCCTGGAGAAAAATGCAAAGCCTTTACTAAACAAAATATTTCTTTTGTTAAGGGCTTTTCTCCACCCGAAGCTTTCCAGCCACGCGAGGCTCTGACCCCACCCTCCCGATGCAGCGTTCCGCTGTCCCTGCTAGGGTAACAAGAGACTCTCAGAAAGCTTCAGGGCAGGAGAAAGTGTGCAGGCTGCAGTGTCTCCAAGCCACTCTGAATGTCCCCAAATCGGGGGAGGGGGGCAGCAAAAGGAAAGTCAGCGTTGCACAGGGCTGGGGTCAATAGCTGGGGCTGAAAAGTGAGAGTCTGGGTCAGGTTTTATGGCTGATTTTACTGGGTGGAGAGTTAGGAGATGAATATCAGATGAAGGTTGATTTCCCTACTGAACAGGCCTGTGGCAGTGTCCTTCCAGATGAGCATGTAGACTACTACTACTAATAATAATAAATGAGCGTTTGCTAAACGCACCCCAGAGAGCACCGTCAAAGACACTGATTGGCCCCCTGACCCGTGTCTGGCCCCAGGCATTGCTGCAGACACCATTTTGATAGATTCTCAAGGGTTTTGTTCCTAAAGACCTTTGCAAATTAAAAGTATTCAGATAAAATTGGTTAGCATCTCGTATAAGATGACCTCCCCTGGGTTATATGGTGTTGCACAGATTAATGGCTTATACCAAAACAGGAACCTCTGCTTTGGAGAAATTAGGAAAGAAGATGCAGATTTAATAAATCCACACCGAAGTTCAGAAGTTCAGGGTAATTTGTCTCGGGCAAAGTCCTGCCCAGAGCTAGAGACCTTCAAAGGAAGTCCTGGCCTTAATGGGATTATTAAAGATACACCTGAGACCAGATCAATATTTGATGATTTTGCAAAGCACTGGGATTTCTTTCAGTTTTTCTTCTGCTGACATCTCCCCCCATGGGGTCTAGACCTCGCGGTTTTCATGAGACCGCAGAGCAGGGGAGACGGCATCTCCCTGGAGCGCTCCCCGGAGGCTGCAGGCGGGCTCCGTGTGGGCGCGCGAGTCCCCGCCGCGTGTGGGGGAAGGGCGGTGCAGGGAGGGGAGACCAGAGGGCGACAAAGCTGCCACCTAGCGGCCACTTCCTGCAGTGTATAAAACGCAGGACCGCAGCCGGAGGCGCTCAGTTGCTCCCAACCGCTCTGCGCTCCCGGAGCGAGCTCCCAGCTGGGAAGGCGCTGCCGCCCCCCCCGTCCGCCTGCCGAGGTAAGGAAGCTTGCACAACAGCCCTGCGGAGACAGCGAGGCGGCTCCTGGCCCCAACCCTTTCCGATCCATCTCTCGGACGGGTGCGCGAGAGGCTGCATGGTGCATTGCCTGTCTTTGCAAAATGCTTCTACGGATCCCAGGGCTTCACCTCTCTGCAGAAAGCAGAGGCAAAGTTTTCTTAAATCACTCCTGGAGGGCGATTTCTGCGTGATCTGTTGTATTTAGGAGCCTGTGTGTATTTGCTGCTATGAGTTCTCTGGCTGTCTGGAAAGTGGGGCAACTTTGCAAGAATTCGGGGGAGCAGACTGTTCTGCTCGCCCCACACTGGCACAGGGGTGAGCTTGGCGCTGCTGCCTGCCTGAGCCGCTTTTGGTACATCAACTAGGAAACGAATGGGATGTACATGCCTGATTCCAGAGGCTTCCTTAAGTCCAGAAAACTGGTCTCTGACTCTTGTGAATCCAGAATGTGTCTGAAATCAGCACTTTGGGGGCCTACTGGAGCCTGTAGCAGGGAAGCTGTAACTGTGAATGTTAAATACAAGCCCAGCCTTGGGTCCCCTGATTGCATCCTTGTGAATCTAACTGGAGTATTTATTCTCTTAGAAGGTGTTAGGTTCAACTTCTGTAGAGGGTAGGCACACACTAGTATTTTGGAATTTGAGTATACTGAAGTAAACCGTTCAGGTAAAAGGAGAATACTGGTCAGTTTTGTTATCAGGCAGGAAGAGTCAGAGGGTGCCTGGAAGTAAGGGGTGAGGTCAGGAGTGGGTGGATTGCCAGGACTTGTAACTTCCAGGGAGAATGAGAAGCTGTAAAAGTCAGACTGGCTGTCTCTTTCCCTGTTCCCCTTGTTCCTTTCCTCCATCTCTTTTCCTACTCTCTTTTTCTTTCTTTCTCTCATTGCTCACAACAGGACTAATTAGTTTTTCTGAAGCAGGAGTGCGTCTCCTCCTTCAGCGGTCTACAGCCCTTTGAAGGTAGCTGGGCAGTGTCATCCTCTGAAACTCAGTCTGCAGAGCCACAGTGTGGTGACTTTCTCCTTTTCTCTGAAAACACAGATGCCGTCTTTGTGTCCCTCTATTTAGTTCAGGAAAGTGCAGAGCGCCCTAGCAAGGCGTGCAGGGCTGCTGGGTTCTGTGCCTGGCCTTTGTGGGTTTGAATGGGAGGCGGCGGGTCTTCCTCCCGTCAGTGCGGGCTCAGCTCCAGGCCAAGCCTTGCTCCAGAGCTAAGCTGCACTGGGGGCTCGTCCTGAGCGTTTTGCTCTTTTCCTGGCTGTGCCATAAACACTTGATTGCATACCGCCTGCCCAACTCAGCCACAGCCGCCAGGAGCTGGCAGGGAGGGACACTGAGGACTGAGGACGCTTTGACATCTTTTTGCAGTCTTCGTTTCTCAGAAGTTCCAAAAACTTTAAGCACATGCTTAACTGAGCGAGGGCTTTGGAAGCAAGCTTATCCAGTATGAACAGCAAGTCCTTGGAGAGTTGAGAAGGTATTATGGTTTCTAATCAAGCCCAGAACAGGCCAAGTATAGGCTTTCTGGATGAAAGAAAAAAAAAACCCACAAAAAAATCCCTACTTAATTAGAACAGTGGCTTTTTGTGTGATGGCTTTGGGCAGGGAGCTCCTGTTTTCAAGTCGACACTGGGGAAGTCGCTGGAAGTTACTCAAACCCGTGGCTCTTGGGCCAGCACTTTGTAAACCTTCAGAGCAGCTGTGGGGAGAGAAAAGGCCCTGGAAGGTTTCAGATCTTTAGATTTTTTCAGCAGGGATTTTATAGCCCATGGCTGGAATTTGGGGCCTGAAGGCATTTGTGCTTTTAAATCAGGCAACTGAGATCTGTACTTTTCCTCTTGAGAACAGGAATAGCATGAAGATGGATCCTATGCATGTAGGTGTAATTTAGAAGGACACCAAAGACTGTCTCGTGACAAGTGTTTTAAAAGTCCACAAAAGAAAAGTATAGCACTGTTCTCTATTCTAATGAACATAATCAGACAAAAGAAAGAAAAAGGGACCTATCAGGACTGGGGGGTGTGTCCCAGATTGTGAATGCTTCGTGCTTTTCTGCAGGGAATATTTGATGCTTTTCTTACTACTCCTGATTTGGAATGAATTCAAACCAAACCAAACCAAAACAAACACCTCAACCAGCTGTTGCTGTTTGGTTATCAGAGCTGCCCAGGGCGGTGTAATTTCACTCTGCCAAGTCTGTAGGTGTGTGTCCTGTCCCAGATACTCCGAGGGTGGACGGGACTGTGTCTATCTTAGGTGGCCTTGAACCACTGTGGGTGCAGGGACAGATAAGGAGCCCTGGGCAGTGTAGAGATTGCGATTTGAACAAAGGCTGTGTCGCCCAGACAGATAGCTGGCATCTCCTTTCCCAGGCAGCTTTGAGGATTTGTCTTCAGTTTCGTGGGAGGAGCCCGAGTCATTGTGGGAACCACAGAGCAAAAGTGAAGCTCTCTCCTTGCTGGCCCACCTCCGCCTGCCTTGTCCTGGTCTGGAGGTGGGTGGGAATGGGCCGCCCAGACAGCCGTCTTTGTAACCAGGAGCCCTGGATCCGCTCTGCACAGCCTGGCTTCTGCAGGGTGGTTGAGCACAATGGGGGATCGGATTTCTGGAGGTACCATTACTTTAACCCACCAGGGCCGTGGGAATGGGCAGCCTGGTTCAGAATTGGAGTGTGCATTTTTCTCTCTATTGGCTTATCATGCTTTAAGTTCTCAAGTAATTCAAAAGTGTCCCAAACATGCATAAAATATTTGGGGACAGATTGCTGCTCTGCTGTCACACCTAGTGGTGGCCTCTGAGAGCCTGCTGGTTTAGGTCCTTGGGCTCCTTACCTGGGCTTCTCACCCTGCTGGCTGGGTCCCAACTAGATGAAATGCAGAGTTGATTAAACAACAAACAACGACAGAAAGCTCCATGATGTGCAGTTGTCCTGCCTGGTGGTCACCAAGGAAGCAGAGCATAGACTCTGCCAGCCAAGGTCTCTCGGGAAGCTAAGGACGCATAGGGCTCCATCCATAGTCACTGTGCCCACACCCACCCTGCCTTGGGTTCCAGGTGTGCAGCAGGGAAGGTGGCTGAGCACGCAGTCAGCTCCTGTCTCAGGAACGTACTGAGTCTCCCTGGGAAGTTCCACTGTGGGACACAGGTGACAAGGTGCAGATGCTAGGGAAGGAAGTGAGGGCCCCGGGCTTTGGAGATGACTCCAGCACCCCAGGCCTGGCTGTTATCTTATCTGCTTTCTTAGAGCAGCAGTCAGGCCTCCTCTCAGCCCAGAGCCCCCAGCCAGGCCTTCTGGGTGCCTGTCACCTCTGTCCTCAGTGCACCCTCTGCCTAGAGCCATGGCCTCGGTCTGCACCCCCATGGCTCCTGCACAGACAGGGCCAGGCTGTCCTCCAGCCTCAGAAACCCTCAGACACCCTCCCTGGGCCTCCATGGTGGAAGTTCCTCCCCTCCTCGGCTTTGGAGGCCCAGCAGGGTGTGGGCCTTCGTGCACCCTGACTCCTAGCCCGGTGACCCTGGTTGGCCCTCCTCACCTGCCCCAGGGCAGGGCCCAACACCAGCTGAGGGAGGATCCCCAAGGGCCTCTTCCGTGGCCAGGTCCCTAGCCTCCATGGGCCACTGATTCATCTAGTGCCTCCCCTGGGCCAGGTCACTTTGCTGGGCTGACTTCACCAGGATGAGTGGGAGCTGAGTACATGGGGGGTTGACTGCAACTTCAGCTACTGGGAAGGCTGAGGTAGGAAGATCCTACATTCGAGGGCATTCTTGGCTACACTGTGAGATGCTGCTGCAAAATAAAATGAAAAGGGGCAGAGTGTAGCCACTGGTAGAGCACTTGCCTAACATACTTGAGACCCTAGATTCAATCCCCAGCACCTCAAGATAAATAAATAAGTAAATGAGACCAGGTAGTGGGAGGTGTGGGTGGGAAGCAGCAGAGTGACGTCCGCAGAGACTGCAGAGACCTAGGAGTGGGGATTTGGGGGCATCTAAGGAGAAAGGGGGGAAAGATGGGACTGTGGGGGGCACATGGTGGGCGGAGCCTTCCTCCTCTGAGATGGGAGGGGGTGGCAGTGCTGGTGACTCTGGCCTGGCAGTTCTCAGCTCTCCAAGGAGTGAACTGGGTGGACACGTGGGGACTGCAGGCCAAGCCGCTGCCCGGAGCCGCTGCACTGAGTGACTTTGGACTCTACACTGCTCCCTGGGTGCTGTGAGCTCTGGCGGACCCCCGGGTGCAGTTGAATTCCCCACGTGGCCAGGTCCTGGGTTGTTAAAGACGCTTGGTCCCTGAAAGGGAAGTCTCCAGAGTGGGAGGTGTGGCTTCCAGTGTCCTCTCCGTGATACCAGGGGCCCAGCACCAATGCAATGGAGAGTAACAGACCAGGGCCATAGGAGGGCTGGAGAGCGGCTGTGTTACTCCGGACCACAGCAGCACCGCCTCCTGTCACGGCAGATGTGGATGGGGGATGAGGTGGTGTAAAAAGTGAGTCCTGTGTCAAGCATGGTGGTGCACACCTGTAATCCTGCACTCTGGGTGGCTGAGGCAGGAGGATTTCAAGTTTGAGTGCAATCTGGGCAACTCAGCAATTTAGGGAAACTGCTTCAAAGTACAAATTTAGAAAAGGGTTGGGGATGCAGCTCAGTGGGAAGGCCCTGAGTTCAATCCCAAGCAATGCAGCAACAATGACAAGGAAACAAGTGGAGCTGTTAGATAGGGCTCATGGGTCAGAGAGCAAGGGAAGGGGCGAGGGAGACAAAGCGGCCTCCACTGCCTTCCGTCTCAGATAAGCAGAGCATGTGGCTTTATTGTTTTGTGGGTTACTCTGCCCTCTTAAGATTTTCGTAACTCTTGACGTCAAACTCCAAACACCACAGAGGATCATGGAGTTGAACCACAGCTCTCCCTGTGCACCCTTGTTCGACTTCCCTGACTAAACTGTCACACTTACTGGAGGTCCTTTACTGTGTCTTTTTGCACGAGTGTCTGCATAGGAAACTGCACACAGTTTTGCTCTTTGTCCTGCCTCAGTGGGGCTGGAGTGTGTGTGTGTGTGTGTGTGTGTGTGTGTGTGTGTGTGTGCTGCACTGCCCACCTCATAGTGTGTCCTGACTTTCCTTGTTCACAAAAGTGGTTCTCCCTCTCTCTTTACAGCAGGCCTGAGGGGCTGGATGGTGTGTGTGTGTGTGTGTGTGTGTGCTGCACTGCCCACCTCATAGTGTGTCCTGACTTTCCTTGTTCACAAAAGTGGTTCTCCCTCTCTCTTTACAGCTCTGTTATTCTGGACAGTGGACCCCCCACACTTTATCAGGTTATTCCCCCACCCACGGGCATTTGTGTCATTGCAGTTCTGCTGCTCACAGACCCTACTTCAGTGAACATCTTGTACGTACATTGGGACACATGTGAATTCCAGCAGGAATGTGTGGACTTGAGAGCTCCCAGGACTAGAAAAACCCTTCATTCCGAGCCCCCTTTGCCTGCTCCCAGAATGCCTTGTGCAGAGGCCTTCTACCTCAGTGGCAGCTCCTCCCTGAGGTGTGCGATTGTGCGCAGGGTTACATCCATCCTCTCCTGGGAGCTCACAGGGCTGCATGGAGCTGCAGTTGGGAGCCTCCTGTGGTCTCCAGCCTGACTGCTGTCTGCACACATGGGGAGGAGGCGGGCGGATGTGGGAAGCAGCGCCTCTCTGTGGCCGGAGGAGGTGATCGAGGTGCGAGTCGCATCTGCTGAGGCTGGGGCCCCCTAGGCTCCTCAACTCCACTCAGTTACACTGGAGGCTCAGTACCAGGCTGTCAGACAGCAGGGACCTGGGTAGATTCCCTGCTTGCCCGGTCACACTTTGGCTCCTGCCAGGACCTCAGAGGTGTCCAAGCAGGGGGTTGGGGATGGTCTTTGCTTCAGTGCTGGGAGGGAGTGGCTCTAGGTGACAGCAGTCCCTGGCACCCAGATGTCCTGCACAGGCTGTACAGCCATAGGACAGGGCACCTCCTGAGTTGAACTGGGGATGGGCCATCCAGTAGCACAGTCCTTTCTGGAAAGATCCCTCCTTTGTATCCACGGTGTAGTGCATGAAAAATACCCAGGCAACTAAGGGCTGAGTCGCCTGCTGTTTTGTTTTCCTGAGCTCCTTCCTGGGTAGAAGGCATGGTCATGGAGGGTCTGGTTCTGTCTGTGGATGCCCTCTGCAGGGACGAAGGGTGTGGTCCACCCAGGCCTGGGAGGAAGGCGAGGGCCTGGGTGTAGCCAGCTGGCCTCATCTGCTGACTGGTACACAGGGTCAGTGACCGCCTGGGGCCTCCCGGCTCTGTCCTTCCTGCAACCTTGGGCAGGAACAGCCTTTCCCTGCTGGGCATTTCCTAGGGTGCCTCCCAGGGGAAAGAAGGGTGTGGGGCATGGCCTGTCTGTCTGTGACTCTGGGGACAGGAGTCAGGAAATCAAACGTTCTTTGTCCAGGTCCCAGCGACAGAAGCCAAGGCTGAATCGGGTCCACAGGTCCTCCCTGGTGCTCACTGCCTCCTAGCAGCCTGGCCAGCTTAGTAAGAGTCAGAGTTGGTTCTGTGGGGATGGTGAAGGACCTAGCAGGATGCTTTCACATCCACTCACTCTGTACCCCTGCACTCAGAGGCAGAGAGTCTGGAGCAAGCGAGGCTGAGCCAGAAGGGTCTCCCAGGTGCGGAGAGTGTGGTGGGGAGGTTTTGAATCCAAGTCCAGGCTGTTGAAGGATCATTTCTGGCTTTTGGGCCCAGGATCTATGGTCATCTCTGTTCCTGGCACTGACCTCTGCTGCTGGGCTGCAGGGCGGTGGCTTGACTCCCGTCTGAGCACCTCTGCTGCCCCGTGGGTTCGAGTTTCCATGGGTCACGAGGAGAAAGTGCTCTGTACACTGATCCATGCAGCAGGGCAGATGCTGAGGCCCCGGTGTGAGTGGAAGGAAGCACCAGGCTGCTTAGTGGCCAATGTGGTAGCAGCGGCAACTGCTGGGCAGCCTGGGTTGGTGGTCAGCCCAGGGCCGGCCTGGCTGTCAGGGAGGCCGAGTTCTGGAAGCGTCTCTGCAGCCTGTCGGATGGACCTGCATTCTGCAGAGCCCTCAGAGCTGTGTATCAGATGGGTCCTCATCCCCACACTCCAGCCTGCCCCTCCCTGGTGCCCTCCTGGGCTGCTGGGGAATGTGGCACAGATCGTGGCCACGTGTTTGGAGTCCTCTGGCTGGGTGACAGGACAGCATGGCTTCCTCACTGTGAGGCAAACACCCACCACTGGAGGCTTTCGGAGCTGTGAGGTGAGGCTGGAATTTCCTCAGCCCCAGAGGACCAGCACCAAAACCAGTAAGGTCACAGGAGTCCATCCAGCAGACTTCAGTGTGGCAGATTCCTGGGAGGAGCTTTTTTTTTGCTGCAGGGGAAAACTGATCATTTCTGGCTGGAGAATGCCCAGCGTTCTTTCAGCCTGGCTTGGCCTGGGGCTGGCAGGCAGAGTTCTGCTATCTGCCCAGCAGATTCCGTGTTGTGCCCTTTGTTCCAAGGCAAGTCTGAGAGACACTGCTGTCCCGGCAGCAGATCCTGAGGGTTAACTAGCTAGTCTCGAGTTAAACACTAACGAGGACAGGAGCCAGGATAGGATCCAGGAATGTCTGGGCTTGTGACTGATGCTTTTCTCGCTGTGGTTTCTTGCACTGGTGGCATGGCTGTCTGGACTCTGGCCCAAGGACCTCCAAAGCATTCTTCAGAAGGAAGCTGGCGTCCACTTTTGGGGACCTCGGCAAATAAGCTCTTGTGTCATTGTGACACCAGCCACCTGTGGATCCCCGATGACGGCTGACAGAGTCGCGCCGGGCGTCTGGCCAGGGGTGGCAGCTGACAGGAGAATGGAGGGTCTTCAGGGCCATCTAGTGGACAAGGGGCAGTGGCAGATGGGTCCTGGAAGCTCCTGAGTGTGGAGAAGCCTCTCCCCAGTCCCGTGGCACCTGTGGCTGAACCCTGGTAGGGTGTGAACTGGTGAGAGTTGAGTGTGTAGGCCTCACACCGGGTCTGCAGGGAGACAGTCGGTAGGCTCACGAGCCCTCCAGCACTTCTGGCTCCTTCTGTGCTTTGGGTCTTGGCACTCTTTATTCTTGAGCAAATAAAGGGATGGAAAACTAGGTGAGGACCCAGAGCCGGGGACAGATGGCTGGTTGGCTTCAGCAGAAAATCGCATGCAAACCTTGGGTCTGCAGGTTTGGGGTGCACTCAGGCAGAAGGGCATTCCACACTCGGCCCTATTTTGAGATGCCTGGTGGCCCCCAGGGAAGCAAAAGACTCAGGTTTGCGAGCAAATCCTGTGCAATGGTAGATGGTGTGGTGGCGTTTAAACGTGGGTTAGAAGAAGGCTTGGGATGCTCTGGTGAAGACAGCATAGCAGGACCCTGGGACACTGTGCCAGCCGCTCCACTGTCTAATGTTTCTTTGGCCCCAGCGTTGTGCTGATTTCACACCGGGGCACAGCCGGGCTGTGAAGTCAGCCATGAGGAGATGCAGAAAACAAACACCACTTCTCTCAGCAGGCAGCCAGCACCACGTGGATGAGGCTCTGGGTGGGTTTTGTCTTGTACCGCCTGGTTCTGTTTGGCCTGTTTTCTCACCCCTCGCTTTGTGAAGACACCACAGAACTAACGCCACACGCTGCGCCCCACGGGGCCTCGCAGGAGCATTTGGCTGGGACTTTTTCTGATGAGGTGCTTTTTCTCTTCCAGCTTTCCCGTTTGGTTTTGCTGCGGGTTGCTCAGCTGCCCCCTCGGGACCATGGACCTGCATCTCTTTGACTACTCGGAGCCAGGGAACTACTCGGACATCAGCTGGCCATGCAACAGCAGCGACTGCATCGTGGTGGACACCGTGCAGTGCCCTGTCATGCCCCACAAGAGCGTGCTGCTCTACACGCTCTCTTTCCTCTACATTTTCATCTTCGTCATCGGCATGATCGCCAACTCGGTGGTGGTGTGGGTGAACATCCAGGCCAAGACCACGGGCTACGACACGCACTGCTACATCTTGAACCTGGCCATCGCGGACCTGTGGGTGGTCATCACCATCCCGGTGTGGGTGGTCAGCCTCGTGCAGCACAACCAGTGGCCCATGGGCGAGCTCACATGCAAGGTCACACACCTCATCTTCTCCATCAACCTCTTCGGCAGCATCTTCTTCCTTGCGTGCATGAGCGTGGACCGCTACCTCTCCGTCACCTACTTTGCCCACACTGCGAGCTGCAGGAAGCAGCTGGTGCGGCGTGTGGCCTGCGTCCTGGTATGGCTGCTGGCCTTCTGCGTGTCCCTGCCCGACACCTACTACCTGAAGACTGTCACGTCTGCATCCAGCAATGAGACCTACTGCCGCTCCTTCTACCCTGAGCATAGCGTCAAGGAGTGGCTCATCGGCATGGAGCTGGTCTCTGTCATTCTGGGCTTCGCCATTCCTTTCTCCATCATCGCTGTCTTCTATTTCCTGCTTGCCAGAGCCATCTCAGCGCCTGGCGACCAGGAGAAGCACAGCAGCCGGAAGATCATCTTCTCCTACGTGGTGGTCTTCCTCGTGTGCTGGCTGCCTTACCACGCTGTGGTGCTCCTGGACATCTTCTCCATCTTGCACTACATCCCCTTCTCCTGCCAGCTGGAGAACGTGCTCTTCACCGCCCTGCACGTCACACAGTGCCTGTCGCTGGTGCACTGCTGCGTCAACCCTGTGCTCTACAGCTTCATCAACCGCAATTACAGGTACGAGCTGATGAAGGCCTTCATTTTCAAGTACTCGGCCAAAACCGGTCTCACCAAGCTCATCGACGCCTCCCGGGTGTCAGAGACGGAGTACTCGGCGCTGGAGCCGAGCACCAAGTGAGCTGCCCTGCAGAGGCTTGGGGAATTGCACGTGTGCTAGGAGAACAGAGTCACTTTGGGTTTGACCCTCAGGCCCAGCCCAGAGAAGAGGCGTGACCTTGTGCGTCCTCGCTAGCCAAGCTGGTCGCTCTGACAGTCTGGCGAGGGGCAGGAAGCAGACACCGCTGGCATCAGGACGGGCTCAGCCTGGCCTCTGTACCGAAGGGCCTTCCGTGTCCTGGCGGCTTTTATATGGTGACATGTATTTAAGTTTTAAGACTTTCTTTTCTCACTCTTGGTGTACCTTATAAGTGTATTTGAAAGTGAAAATATATTTTAAATATTGTCTGGGAGGTATAATGCTGACATATACAGATCGCTGTAGTTTTAGGGTTAGTTTGACTTCAGTCTTGACTAAGGATGACAACATTAATTGTTAGCAGATCTGAAAAGATATATATATATATATATATATATATAAATATAAATATATATAAGTATATGCCAGTGTTGGCACAAATGTTCTATTTACAGTAGTTTTATATCTGTGCGGTGCTTTGTACCGACATAGGGTATGGAACGAAAACTGCTCTGTAGTGCAGTTTGTAACATTAATAGTATTGAAGCTACCTTTAAATAAGACTGTTCCAGACTGCAAATCTGTGCCCCCAAACGAACAGAGAGTTCTCTCAATTTGTAAGTTATTATTATTATTTTTTAATAAAGATTGTTTTGTTTCCTAAAACGGTGTCTGTCCTGTTTCGGGAGGCATGGTGACAACAGGCAGCCACACAGGCACATGCTGGCTGTGGGTGGACCCGTGTGAAGAAGAGAATGACCTTAAAGCTGACCTTGGCACGGCCGGAGCGGTGCGAGGGAGAAGCTTCCCAGGCACTGACATATCTGGGGACAGCAATGGTGGCAGGTACAGGTGCTGCAGGGTGGCCATCCAGGGGAGTCTGTAACACCTAAGTGCTTCCAGGACCCTGCATCGCAGCCCTGGAACTGTGTGGGCCAAGGGCCTGTGGTTTGCCTGCTCTCCCTTGCTTTCTCCAAGACAACACTTCCTGTGCAAACTTCTCAGTTAGGATGGGCCAGGACATTAGGAATGGTCCCACCTGTCCACCGTGGACATGTCTCAAGGCTTCCAGGACATGTCCCGACCCTTATGTACGATTTGTTCTGTATAGAGGTTTAGTTTATAAATTAGGCACAGTAAGAGATCAGTGATTGCTAATACTAACATGGAACATAGGATATTATTTAAAATTTATGAATTATTTCTAGAATTTCCCAGGTAGTATTTTCAGACTGTGGGTAACTGAAGCCACAGAAAATGAAACTGTGGACACAGGAGGTCCCCAGAAGCCTCTCCAGGCCACACAATGAGGCCTTTCCAGGTCTGCATGTTTCCCGATAAACCTGCATCCTCACTAGGAGTTTGGAAGAGCCCTCCGGAGCGGCTGGCTCCAGCCCTCAAAGACTACGTGGGGAAGGGCTCTGGCCAGAGTGCAGGGCCCCTGGGCAGGCCAGACAGGGTCAGCTCTCAGTTCTGCCCTTACCTGCCCAGCTCTGATGAGCCCCACCTCTGGGCCAATGCCCTGGTCTCACCCGAGATCCTCCGAGCTGCTGTCCTACAGGAAAGCCCCATGCACTTGAGTTCAGCCGCAGACCCATGGGTGGTGGCCCCCACAGGCCGTGCGGGCTGCAGGACAGTGCCTGAGTCCTGTGAGGAGCTGCACAACCTGGTGTTTCAGCCCCAGGCTGTAGCTTATGCCTGATCAGACCTGTCCTCAGGAGTCTGTGCACCTGTGTACCTTGACTGATGGCACTGTGCTCAGGAGACAGTGGTGCCGGAAGTAGAATACTAGTGTAATGATGGGCAAGAACATCAAGATGGGGACACGAGCGCGGAAGTAGAAGCTGGGAAGATCAGGACCCAGTGTGTGCTTCTGATAGTGATCCCTTTGTGCGCTCTGAGGCTCATGGTGGCCCGAGGTCCGATGAAAATGCACTCCCTGACGTGCCAGGCAAGCAGGGCAGGGGTTGGGCAGTGTGAGCCCAGTCTCCAGGCCCCGGCGTGCAGCTGATGCACGTTCCCACTCTGAGGTCCCCGTGTAGTCATCGCGGGGTCCCCTCATCCCCACGGCTTCCAGTTGAGTCACCCACAGCATAGGGAGGGGGGGTCCCTGGTGGTCACCTGTCCACCCCGATGCTACTAACTGCTGGCTCTCACCCAGGTCTCCTGGGCCAGCCCAGTTCACGTGGCTCCAGCTGCTCTCCCAGTGACATGGGCCTGTGGGGTGCTGGCTCCGGCCCTTTCTGTTTTCTTACCACTCTGTCACCATGGTGGTCCCCCAACTGCTTCCTCCCACACTGGGGTGCAGATGGTGCAGGGGAGCATGGACACTGCACAGATTATCTAGGTTTAGCAGCCTGAATCTTTGGGGGGCTTTTCCAGTTTCCCCACAGGCTCAGGGCATAGAGTCTCCACTGTCCAGAGCACTCGAGGTGCCTCTGGAGTCTGCTGTCTCAAGGTGCAGCCACTTGCCCTCATCACCTAAGAGCTCTCTGCTGCTTTCAGCACCCTTTTCCTTGCCCACCTGGACTCTAAGACCTGCTGACTGGGCCCTCGAGATCTGCAGCCCAAGGCTTTCCTCTGATTTTGCCTGAAGCATGTTGTCTGGGAGCAATGGGTGAGAACAGAGGCCCAAGCCAGGAGTGCAGAATGCGTGGCAGGGAGAGAGCACATCCCTTAGTAGGGAAGACTTCTGTCCTGTGCTATGGATGTGGATGTGGAAGAGGCTGAAGGACTTGAGGGCAAGGTGTAAGTATGGGGTGTGGCTTGGGAGGAAGAAACAAACAGTGCTAGACCCCTCACCCTTCTGGAGTCCTGAAACCAGAGGCTGAAGTTCTCCCATTCCAGGTCTGTGCTTTTGGCCTTGTTTTGGTGGACAGAACTTTAACAGCACCTGCCTGCCGAGGTGCAAAGATCCCCTAGTGCATCAGCCATTGACAGTGTCCAGGACTCTGGGAGGGAGGTCTGAAGCCCAGGTGCAAGGCAGGGCCTTGGAGCTGTGCTCTTGCTTCTTTCTTGACGCCACTGTCTGGAGCCTTACCCCACCCCAGGCCCTGAAGTCCTTCATCAGGGTCAGGAGTCCCAGGCACAGTGGCCTGTGTGGCCCTCTAGCTGCTGGGGATCAGTGCAATGTTTTCCACCTGGCTTGATGTATAAGCAAGCACCTTACTCTCTTACACCCAGGGTGCCCTACTCGTGAGGAAAGAAGGTGACAGCACAGGGAGTCCCAGACGTGGTGTCCTCTGAGCACCAAGGAGTCAAATACACAGGCTGCTGTGTGGCCTTTGGACCTCCAGCAGCCTCCCAGGGGCACCCAGGGACCAGGCACAAGGCCCCGGGACATGAGTGCTCACATCAGGCCAAGCAGCAGGAAACCTCAGATCACTGCACCTTTGCCTGGCTTCTCGGAGTCACTCTGGGAGGCGGCTGCACAGGGGTGTGGCCCTGCCTTTCAAGCACAGGGAGTTCCACCCTGCTGGGCTGCTTCTGGAGGATGAGGATGCCCGCCGCCGTGGTGAGTGGGCCCCGGAGACCTCCTGTGCAGGTGTCACAGGTATCTCAAAGGACAGGGGAAACACATGGAGGTGTAAACCAGTCTGAAAGAGCCATAGCGAGAGCTGAGAGGCTTCGCGGCTCCCTCCCTGAGGGCCAAGTTTAGCTTTGGAGCCCTGGTGTCCATGAACATTTTCCTCCTGGTCTGAGCCCTCTGAGATGCATGGCTTCAGGCAGGGTGGCCAGGATTATAAAACATTCATTCTGGGGCTCCCCAGGAAAGCTCCTGCTATCCCCCAATGTGGGCCATCTCTAGACAGCTGAGGCAGTGGGGTGTGAGCAGCAGGGGTGCAGCCCAGAGGGCCATCCCTGCCCCTCCCTTCCTGGGAACAGGGAGAGGCTCTGGCTGGCTGCAACTACTCTCAGCTCTGGACAGTTCCTGCTCTGTGGAATGGCCAGAAGGGGAAAATCCCACTGTGCAGCAAAGGGCCCATGGCAGGCCTGGGGCTCATGTTGTGTGTGCCCGGGCAGAGTCTAAATTCCTCAGAACAAACAATGCGTTCCAGAGTGACAGGGGGAAGCAGGTGTACTTGCCCCCAGGGGTGACTAATAAGGTTGGCACTCTGCCCCAGACAGAGGTCCTCGCCTGGGGTGACCTGGGCCATGAACCACTTGGCTGTGTCTTGAGGGAGGCATTTATAGCTGTCACCGCCAGGGTGTGACTGGCATGTAGTGGGTGGAGGCCAGGGCACAGGGCGGGGCAGCCCATGTCCTCAGGTGTCAATGTAGGAGAGGTGGAGATACCTTGATCAGGATAAATTTGAAAGGCCAGGCGTGGTGGTGCACACCTGTGATCCCAGCTCTCTGGAAGGCTGAAGCAGGAGGATCACAAGTTAAAGTGAAGCCTGGGTCATGGAATGACTTGACAAAACCCCATCTCAGATACAAATTAAAAAAAGGACTCAGGATGTAGCTCAGTGTGAAGGCCCTGGGTACAGTGCTCAGCAACACACACACACACACACACACACACACACACACACACACACACCCCTCAAGTCTTCTGAATGCCAGTCATTGCCTGAGCAGGGGCCTCTGGCAATCCCGGGGCACTCGGAACAGCATCCCATGTCCCAGCGCTCCTCAGGGCTCTGCTCCTTCTCCTTACCGCTTGGCTCTGCAGGCTGGAGCTAGCAGGCCGGGGCAGCCCATGCAGTGGGCCCAGATGCAGGCTTATGCTAGATCCCACTGTGCCCAAGGATATTTCAGTGCAATGAATTTGTTGCAACTGCAGATTATATAAAAGTTCAACTTGTTGAAAAGAGGTGGAGAACAACTTATGAGACTTGTGAAAAACTGGTGGAAAAGGAATTTGCACACACATTAAATGCCAGTTGACATTTTATGTGCACTTTAGAGGTTTTAAAAGTCACGGTAGTATTTAAGATATTTCACTGCATAGGTCCTGGGAGGAACTGGACAGAGCTATGGGCAGGACAGCAGCAGGCCAGAGCGAGAGACATACTTTGCTTCTTGTTGGTGTGGCGAGCTTGGCAAAATTTCTGCCATGGATCTCTGCCTCTGCACCCTTGAAGTGACTTCTCCACCTTCTGTAAAGGACTACTGCAGGGATTAAGAGAGGACACACGTGTGAATAAGAGTAGCTGAGTACAGAGACAAAGGGATGACTGTGACACGCTGTGAAACCCAAATAGGGCATGTAAATTTCTACAAGAGTCTGCTGGGACTCCTTGTCTCCTGCTGAACTGACCCACTATTGCTTACACCTTCATCACCTCCGGGCTTGTTGATGTCTCCAAGTTGTATCTGTCCTCCCGGTTGTGGCCACAGG